TTCTTCGAAAACAAAATAATTTTAAATTCACAAATAAATAATTTGTATAATCAGGAAGAAAATATTTTATACTGTATGATTGAAATATTATAAATTATKATTATCATTTATTCAACTAAGGCAGAATAACGAGTCAGGCAAAAAGTTATAATTCGAGATTTTATTTTAAAAGGCACTTATTGCACATGAATTAAATTAAAATGCGCATCTCTAATGGTTGAAACCAATTTTAAGTTTTTAAAAGTTACAGATGACTGATGAGTTACATTTTAAGTCCATAAAAATCTCTTTGACGGCTTATTCAATCGATCTATGAATATCAAATAAAACTGTTTATTATTAAAATAATATTAAAATATATTTAAATCACTTGTATAATGCGTTTGCATGAAAGAAATAAAAATAATTTCCAATCGTTTTTAATGTTCAATTATATTATTATTATGTGTTTACTTTTTAATCGACTCAATACTTCAACGACTTAATTTTTGTAAAATATATACATAAGTAATATTTTCAAATGTATGTATTATAATATTTGATGATATCCTCATAAAGAATAATGTGTTAACAGACAGTATTAAGGTAATACGGTCTGTTGGGTAAAAATATTAAAAACGAACTCGGTACTCCGAACTCGAAATTGCAACAGTTCGCTATTTTTCTTTTTATTTGCTTAGATAAAAATTGAAATATTTACTTAGTGCCTATTAAACTGTTTTGTACACAATAACGATTTATATTTTATGTTTAGTTTTGCTAGATATTATTTATGTAAAGTCTACCTAATACTTCACGATATATTATTATTATTATTTTTTGATAATTATTTGGGTATTATATCATTTTATTTTGTTTATTTATTCTACGTAAATAGTTATTATTTGAAAATTAAATAAAAAATTATAATATTAAACTATACTCCATTCAAATTATGTACACGATGTAGGTATACTATTATAAGTAAAAACATAAGACTGTTATGTTGAATTTATACGAGAACAAGTGATTAATAGCGATATATTTTTAAATCTAAAAATGTTTGTCTTGGGCTTTCTATATCATTAAAATATTTAAATTATTATTTGTTTATGCATTTAAAAATAATTATATTTAACCAGTATACCTAGCTGTTAACAATAATCTAATATTTCAAACTTTAATTATTGTCCCTATGTAATACAAAATTGATTTGTTATCTTCTTCATAATTTTTATTTTTACTGTTCTATCATGATCTAGAGAAAGTCTCCATAGTTTTTAAATTTGTATTATTGCAATTCAATAAAGTAATAATAAATATTAATATCCATACGAAAAATAAAACATTGAAAAATTCAAAAACGCTAAGCCAAGGTGGAAAATGCTCAATTAGCATTTGTTATGAATAAACAGAAATAGGCCACCTAAACTTGGTCCCAAAATTCATTAAAAATATATTAGTCATTTTTAAAGTAGCTGTTGAATAAATTAAAAATTATTTATATAGGTAATATTATGTGTTTAAGTATGTATCTAGCCCAATATTTTGATGATATACATTTGGGACTACCTACTGAAAATCACAAGAAAAATGAATAGTAATTAATCTCGCAATTTATTTTTTTTGTTAAATTCATATTTATTATCTTCAAACATCCATAGAAATGAATGAATTAATTTGTTTGTATTGAAACAAAAACGCCTATTAAAATATGGGAACAAATTAATTATTATTTACTATTAATATTTCTTTTTTTCTTTTTATCTCAAAACTAACTTTTCATGTCAATGCAATTCCATAATCTATTAAACTATTCAATAATAGAAGTCTATCAAAGATGTTGAAATTGTTTAATATTKAAAAAGTCATAAAATAATATTTTTTAAAAAAGTGAATGAATCAATATTGTACCTTGTATTAAATATTGAGTAACAGTCATAGTAATTGTGTTTGTATTTGATTAAATATTAATGTAATAATTCTGAAATATATAAATCCAGTATTGATGGTCAATTTGTTTTGGTTGTTTACTCTTCGATTCAGCTTAAGCTTTGACAAATAATCTTAACTTGTCAGGTCTGCTCAGTCGTTAGTTTGTTTATGGTTTAAGATCAACTATGACGTTGACAAAAAAATCGAAATCATATTTTCTTTTCGTTTCAAATTGGAAATGAAAATCGTTAAAGAACAGAATAAAACAACACCGGTGATATTTTACTCATTACACCGTATTGTTACATGTGATTTGGTTTACCTTATGTAACTAAATCCAATGTAGATTAAATCAAATTAAATCTGATCCACTGTTTCTCGTAAAACAATGTGATGAATTGTGTCTTGAAATTATTTTAAAATAAGATGATTAAAAATAAAATTCGTAAGTGCTATAATCCGACATAGTCTTTGATCGTGTCAAAATTAAAATAATTTATTAACATATTGTAATATTGGTTTTACGAAAATGTTAGAATTATCGAAGTACAGGTGCTGCTAATGTTTTTTTAATAGACACGTTTAGTTTTAGAACGGGGCTAGTTAAATTGAGTCCGAGATAAGTTTGGTACATTTTGAAAGCGGTAAATTGAGTCCCGGGGAAAAATAGGTAGTAGGTAAGTTGAGTCCCGGAAAAA